TTGCATTTTTTATTTTTAACTTGTTCCCAAATTCTTCTACTGATTCACTTACCTGAATAAACACAGGCTTAATAAGCAGTAATTGATAACGTTGGTGTCGCCAATGTTTTTGAAAGGACATTTGCCTTTAAAGTGTCATCTTATTTTGTTTAATACACTAAGCCACTGAAAACATTTAGTGGTAATTTCACTGACTTTGATAGAAAACATTTATTAAATTATAATGTGAGAGACAAATTCATTGTGTAATTACACTGCAGATAAATAAAGCTTCCTCTGCTACCTAAAACACTCACTCTCCTTCACACAAATTAAATTAATTGATTGACCTGTTGCACTAATTTGCACCTAAGTACCAGTATTTCGCTGCCATTAAAAATTATTTGCCATCATTACCTTTTGTCGATTAAATGCATGAATCCAGCAGAAAATTAAACAAAATGCAAAAAGTGTAAGCTAAGTAGTGTTAGCTTGTGTTACAGAGCTGCAACTATAATGTTAACGCTGTTTTCAGCAGGAACAAGAGCATGACTGTTCCTGAATTTGTTCCTGCTGTAGGCTATGACAGATTTTGAACTTTCTCTGAAGAATATTACTGCATTCATTCTTGACCCAAAAACCTTGCTATTGTGTTTGGAAGAGACTCATGGAGGTATGCTATGCACACTTATACTACTAATTACACCGTGTGGGGAAAAAACTCATTATTCTTTGAGCTATTTTATTCTAACCTACCAAACACTGTAGCACTTTGTTCTAACTTTATCTGATTACAGATATAAAAAAAACAACAACACTTTATTTGATTCCTGTATTTTTCTAAGAGTCTATTGAACATGTAAGAGCTGATACATTAAGACACATCATGTACCACTAGCTTCAAGCTACAAACCATTTTTATGGTGGAGAAAACGGGATAAATGACAGCACAATTCAGTTTAAACTTTTCTTTTAGTTTCTCATCAGTCTCCTAAACAACACTAAGTTATACAAACCCTCCACCCCAGTATTAAATCCATCAGTATTGATTGATATTAATGTCAGGATGAAGGTATAATTTCATGGATACCTTCAAGCTATTGATTTAACAACTTTAATCAATTATTCATTTAATAATTCTGCTTGTATCTTTGACTTTATGTATGTGAAATGCTGTAAAAAATATGAATGACTTGGCTCAATAGCCTTTAATCTTATTTGAATTTACATGATAGATTTCTTCCAATCTACAATGTAAACATGGGAAGCGTATGAACATCTGGATTTCATGCAGGATCCATTTATCATGTTCTCTGTGGGTTTGTGTGTTTTTTTCTACTTGAAAGTGCAGTTAATGTGGTTCATAAACATTTTCCCAGTATTCTATCAGGCAGTCCTGTCCTCCTCGCTAACTAACTTCTTGACGATCCTCATTCATAGCAGAACATTTCGTTATCACTTGCTCAAAAATATATGAAAACCTTTAACTGCAAGGATGCAGTCCTTGCAGTTAAAGGTTTTCATATATTTTTTATTTTTAATGACATTTTTGGCCATTTCTTATACTCAATTGTACAAATAGCCCTAACATGCAAAACTTGAGTTTATCTGATGCATTTCTTGTTTTACGAGAGAGATTCAGTAATAATTAAAAGACTCCTAATCTCTTGCCAGCTTTTGTAGAGAAAATATCAATGATAAAATGACCGATCTAATCCTTTATGTGCTAGACCAACTTTAGTGATATAGGCGGGGGATTCCCTCAGGTCATAGCATTCATCCAGAGGCTCCAATATCAAAGCTGTAAAAGGTGCAATATGAGTCTTACTTTTAGAGCAGATTAACTTGATGTTTATCTAATTTCATTTGCTTAACAGTTAAAACGGGAAATAGTCCCAAAGGTCCCAGTAGGCTACTCCAGCATCACCTGCCACATCCATCTTTTATCTTTAGCCATGACGTTTAGGATAGATGACTTAAAAGTGTGGTTTCCTGTTGGAATTACTACAAATAAATAAATAAATAAAATGAAAATTCATTAAATTATTTTTTTGGGGGAAAAAAGCCCAGTAATCAAACATAACAAAGCAACAAAAAAAACCAGACATTCCTGCCTATATTTAAAGCTCCTTTATTTGCTTCCATGATGTCTTATATCTTTCAGAGTCTGAGAACAGCTATATGCAAATTTTGTGTCTAGTTATTGGATATTTTTCCAGCAACTCCCAACTTTTCTGTTAAAAAGAACCATTACTAAGAACAATAAATTGTTCCAGTTACCCTTTAGTGGACAGTTTGAGTTGAAGTATTTCACATCGCCGTGAGCGCACATACTTTTAGACTGGACGATCCCTTTGGGAATCAGCACTGTGACCTGACATTAACAAAACCAAACCGGCAACAATAGCTTTGCCCGGCAGCTGCTGTGAGATGAATTACCGGCAAACTTTATGTGATTAGTCAGGGCATTGCATTAGCAAAGACAAGACGTAACTCATTTTCAGGTACAAGAGCGCACGCTGCTGTGTAGCAGTTTGACTTGGGTTAGCGAGAGAAAGTCTTGGTTCTTTAAAGAGTCAGTGTGAGGCAAATCTAATGCATCTTGGCAATGAATAGTGTCCATTGATTCCACCACATCAAACTCTCTTCCTCTTCACAGTCCCTTGCATGTCTCTTGCTTGGGGTTTTTGTGTGCGAATGTGTGCACACATAGATTCCTCTGGAACAAAGGAAATCCATCCAAGATGAGAATTTATGCAACGTTCCCCTCTGAAAGCTTGAACAAACTGCCAACAGGAGAAAAATCTTGGATCCATTTATTTGACAGTGATTAGTAGTGACTGATTATTTCAGGGCATGGCATCGCCTGCTAGGCTAGGGGGGTCATGTTTATGTTGACTGATGAAATAAAGAGACTGACATTAGGAACTCCTCCACACAAACAAAACAAAGATGCATAGAAAGTTGCCCTCTGACTCATGGTATTAAGGCAGAAATTGTGGTGTGACCTGTTCTTTTCCGAGAGCACAGAGAGCGCCTGAATGCACAGCGACAGCAGTATCAGTGTGAGATCTCTTGAAGAGGAATGGAGCTGTAATGTCATTTATCTGCAGGCCTCTGTTAACGTTTGCTCCCAGGGAAGTACGAAATTGAGATAAAAACTGGTGACCAATCGAGTGTCAGCCTGCCTAGTGCCTGCTCGTGCTGATGACGTTCTGATAAAAGCGACAGATGAGAACACGTGCCACATCCTCAGATCCCAGTGGTTTCTATTATCAGGGGCTCTGTATAGCATATTCATTGGCAAAGCTTGCAAACGTTATACAAAAATCAATACTCTGCTGACTGGCTTGCTCCTTTTTTATTATAGGTCTGGCCATAAAGTTAAGTATGAGTCATTATCAAGAACAGCCTAATTTCCTAGATTTATGCCGTTAACGAGGGCCTTTCAGTCTTTGGTCTCATCAGTGACAGTCTTGTTTATGAATGTGGAGAGTGTAGTATACCAGGATAGCGATGTCAAATTTCAGAGCAAGCTATAAACTGGGCTCATGGTATGCGAGCACCTCCCCTTGGGCCTAATATCGTCTAATAGAGACAATGGACTTCGATCCAATCGATTCTATAAATCTTTAAATTCTTTCTTCAGACGCATCACAGATTAACTTTCAAGTTATTATAGGTGTATATTTCCAATAACACAAGTGTTTTTTTTGCTGTGTTTCATTATTATTTTTATTTATACGTGCCATTTTTACACTTATACAAGTGCAATTTTAATTAGTTTCAGCATTTGATGCTCAAATCATTTAGATTTATTGTGCTGAAAGCAAGAAAACACACACACTCCTGGCCTTTGACTGTTGAATATATTAAAATAAAGGAGGTTAGACTAAGGGCCCTGGTTTTCACGACTGTTGCAGTTGTACTGAACTGAGATTTCAGACACTTAGTAATCATCATTTTACATAACACTAATCAGATGTTTAGAATGATCATTTGTGCATTTATAAAATGCAGCAATTGGATTGAGGGATTATAGTGTACCGTGCACACTATTTATTTTGTTCCAATGAAGCATTTCTTCAAGTGCTACAAATTCACACAGTAACAAAATGAATACTCAAAATTAACATAGATTTAACATAGATTGCACCAGCCAGGTAATGTCTCAGTCATGCTAGAAAAACAAAACAACAAAACAGAACAGCAAACTACTTGGGACAAAATTGTTATTCGCCAATCTGCCACAGGGTTTTGGCCAGCTCTAAGCTTTTACTGTGAATTCCTTTTTAATGTGAGTGTCCTCATGTACAGAAGGCAGCAGATATGCAATTTTTTGCTGATTTACTACAGTTAATTGCTGTTTCATCACAAACACATTCCGTATAACTGCCATAACTGGGTTCATCTTATTCATCTTACTGCTGTTTTATTGCTCTCTTACACAGCAACTAACCACAAGTGGTTGCAGACCTGGTCCCTGTATTAGAAGCAACTATTTCAAATCCAAAGAGATTAAAAGTTCATTGCACAGAGTTGTAATTATTTTGTTTGTGCCACAGTCTATAAACACTGTTTTCCCTTGTGTGACTGTAGCATCGATGCTATAACCTTGAAACTAGCGCCTGTTTTAATGGCTACCATCTGGACAAGGACAAAAGTGGAAAGTTAACCAACATGTGTCAACATATGGTAATTAATGGGCACAATCCCTGAAAAAAATATAGCATGAAATATGTAGTAAGCTAGTTAGCAGATGTGCTAACTATTCTGTATGTTAGCATAAATATTGGCAACATTTTGGAAAAGCTAGAAAGGCAGGCAGACTATTACAATTCTTCAAATGTATAAATAATACAATTAAATCAAACCTCCGCCTTACATTTATTGTTATAGATACCATGAATGAACTTTTAATAAAGACAGGGGCGGGTTAGCAGAGAGACATTTAACACCAAAAGGAAAAACGTTGTAGTAAAAAGACACAATGAAACAGTAACAGAAACGTCGCATCTTACCTTGAAATCGCAAATGCATGTCACCATGTTCCCGATTCTTAGACATTCCCCATCAAACTTGCATGTGTTGGTGTCGCACAAGAACAGGTCTGTGTCCCGGTCATCGGAACCTGGAGGACCAAAGCCAACAAGAGACAACAGTGACTAAGTGCTTTTCTGTCGAGCCTTCAAGCAACTCTAACCTGAAACCCATTCAGGGTCGTTCCTAATGAACCTCTGCCATTAGTCATATCTCCCTCAGCACGCTGCACTCCTGGAACATAGGTCTACTGTGCAAAAACACAATGCTAGTGCAATCCTTCTCCTTAGCTGCCAGAATGATCAAATGAAAAAGCAGTAGTCGCTGCTGAAAGGTGAACAAAAGATTTTTTGTTGATGGTATATTACATGATGTTCTGATGATGCTGGAGATATTGAATGGTAGATAGTGCTCTTTAATACATCGTTTTAGAAAGCACTCAGATGTTTAATAGAGGTGACATTTAGGTTCATTACTGAGGTCATGGCGTATAATTTTGTGTCCTACACAACATATTTGTTCTGTTTCTCCACCCATTTATTTCTCTTTAATATTTGTTTGTGTACAACAAGACTAACTCCTGGGGCGTTGTCCAGCAGAGGCAAAACTGGGCTGTGATCCGATTCAGGCTGCGTTAGGGAGCTCAAATGACTCCAACATAGCTTTCTGAATCAAATCAGCGAGTCACATGGGCCTGAGACTGTAGACTGAGCTCAGGGCTGTTAGCTTACCTGAAGTGATTGCTTTAAAAAAAGGCCACGTGCACAAAGACCGTAACATGTGCATGAAGGCTTTTTCCAAAATACATTTAAAGTGTATTCCACCAAATTCCAGCTGACATAAACCCTGCAATCGTGCAGTATCTATTTGCACAAAGATTATTTTAATGCATTCCAAGTTAAAAGTTGAAAAGCTGACCTTTTTTTTTTAAAGATCACTGAATAAAATTCTATAGCTTAAGACATTTGTCAGACAAACCAATCTGAGAACTTTTTGCTGAGAATATTTATGAACCAAATGGCTTAAATTATATAAACATGGCCATGATGCCCAGGTCAGACTGTAGTCTCACTACAGAAGATTTTTTTATTTACGTATATATTGACATGCCTATCATCCTTATTCAGCTATAAATTGTTTTACATCATCATGAATCAGTGAATATATTAGACATGGCATATCACAGACATGTCAGTAAATTGTCTGATAAGCAAAATGAAATTGCATTCATGACTGACAGGCTGCTTTCTATTGCTCTAAGCCAGGGGTCAGCAACCTTTAACACCCAAAGAGCCATTTGGACCCAGTTTCCACACAAAAGAAAACACTGGGAGCCGCAAATACTTTGTGGCATCTAAAATGAAGATAACACTGTATATATTGTTTTTTCTACCTTTATGCTTTGTGTGAACAACTAAAGTGTGTTGCTTATGAAATCCATGAAGTGCTACAGAGAAATACATTTTATTTATGTAATGAACACATTTTGAACACTTAAAGAAACATAACAAAAAGGAAAGACACCTAGCTGAACTAAAATGATCCATGTAGCAAAGAAAAACTGTTGTGAACCGCCAGCCTTATATCGCCTTTGGGCTTTTGGAGCATAGCAGAGCCTTGACCTGAATTTTAAATTGGAAAAAAGCACTATGCTACTAAAAAAAATGAAAAATAAATATTTGCAAAATTCTGCATAAATATTTATGTATTTATTTATTTATTACACAATTAAGTCACTTTCATCTTTACGCAGGACTGTAAGCTGTCATCTGTGAGGCAGGAGCGGTGTTTGTTTTTAACATAGTTCGCGGTGGAGCTGCTGACATAATGTGGATCCGAAGATCCATAATTGGCCTACCGGGGGTTGAAAGTCTCGGTAAATGCATGGCGTTTCGGCGAGTGTACCGGCTTCCGCGAGTGTGACGCTTATTTTGAGCGACGAAAAATAATAAAATATAATTTTATTTTTATATTTCAATATCACAATCTTTCAATTTAGAACTACAAGTTTAAAAAGAACTAATACAAAAAAAATACACTTCAGGCTAAATACTTGTAATTTATTTTCCCAAGCCACGCGGAGCCGCAGTATAAGGACTAAAGAGCCGCAGGTTGCCGACCCCTGCTCTAAGGATTTGCATTTAACCCTTGAAGTCCAATCTACTATATTACTGGTGTATACATGTTTTTTTCTCAAGAAATTATAATGTGTTTTCTAGCAAAATATCCAGCTGTTTTATTAATATTAATTACTAAATTAATATTAATCCTCCCTCTGCAAAGAGTGAGGTCCTAACACTGTTTTCAGCCACAACAGTCAGGTTAAGCTTTAATAATTTGCTGTACCCTTCCTGGTGAGTACTGAACATCAACAGAGCAGTTGTTAGAGACCAAAAGCAGAGTTAATATAGAGTGCATGCTAAATCTAGAGTCATGAATCACATGACATCACACCAGATGAATGAACAATAGACCTCTGTACATTTTTCACATTATTTCACTGTTTCCATTTAAAAGGTTGCATGGACAGCTGGTTTCCACTCCACCCAAACAGGACAAAAAGACTGTGATTGGAGATTTCATGACTTCGGCCAAAATAACTGTTTTTCTGATGAGAACACAACACTTTTTTAACGTCAAATACAAACACTGAGGCAGTCGTATCATGTCATTTGGCCATTTATCAGTCCATAGGTACGCACAGAAGGCAGAAAAACAAAATAACAAAAAGCAGACTAATATAAATAATTAATATGATATTGTCAAATTTTAGGATGTAATTTTAAGCAGCAGACTATTTTCATCCAAAGCGTGAAGTTGGTGGTTTTGAATTCCCATGATAGTTAACAATAAGAAAATAAATCTAAACCTTTTCAGAAGGAAGGAAACCAGTTCAACTAAAGTTCCCACGAACTGCATACGCAGTATAGATTAGTGGAATGACAGTATTTAGGTACAGCACATTATATACACGACTAAAACCTGGAGAAAAGATGCAGTTCAGTGTCTTTTAGCAAGCATTTTTAAAATATTTAATTAACCATTAAAAAGAAAAACACAGAAGGTCCACAAGGCATGGCAAAATTGGAATTTGGAGCTAAATATGAACATCAAACGGATTCATCTTTGATGTTCAAAGACGAACAGTGTGGGTTTTGTTCTTTTATGTCTCAGTTTATACTTTGCAGCCTTAAGGGAAAAGCAAATAGGCGAGTGACGTTTTATCTATTTCTTTCTTTTAAACATGAGACACAGATGAAGCAAGTATACGATGAAGATGCTGAGTATTTAGGTTTAAACAACGATTAAAACACATACATATTCTTTTATCTGCGACCATTATGAAAGCCCCAGGGAAAATGCACATTTCTTTGGGATCAAATGTCTCTTAAGAGCAATAAAATTTAATTTTAGGTTATTTTAATCAACCTTATTTAATCAAACAATTAGAGCATGAAAAAAACCCTCCTAATTGGGTGTTTAACTTTTCTCACAGAGATATTCTTTATTACCACACCATCCTACAGGGAGCACATTACACTATCAGTGAGTGTTCTGACTTTCATTTAGCCTGGCTTTTACGATCAGCCCCAAAAAAGTTAATCAAGCAAACTCTACATTAAGAAATACACAATTTAAACGATGAAATCTACACATTACTAAAATAAACTCTTTTTTTAAATTCTCTGGACTTAAAAAATGTATTCAAATATCTAATCATTAGGGAAAAGATGCTCGGTATCAAGTGAATGTATCCAAATCAAGTAAATGTCATTTGACTAGATTCCATTAAATGCAACATTGTACACTGAACTTACAGGCGTAAACTAAACGTATGCAAAAAAAACCCAAAAATATTATCAACCACAAAACTGCCAACGTGCTATCATGACATTGCATTAAAGGTAAGGAGCCAGCCTCGTTCATCTCACAAAACAGCAAAAAGTTATCATGTGAAATGGCACGTGTGATATTCATACACATCATAATGCCTGGCTGTCTGTGGATGTTACAGGCAAGATATCTTACAAAGCTATTTTCTATTCATAGATATCTTATTATAATGGACACTTAGACACAGTATCTCCTGTAACCTGTCATAACCAATGACCTTCTCCACTTCGAAAAGCCCTTCTTGGCATAGAACAACCTATCAGGCAATAATACCCCATGGAATAGAAGTCCATGCTAAAACGAACCTGCTATTTGCCAAGGTCCTGAATGACCATAAGTGTAAGCTCTCTGTGAAAACATACAATCACTGAGCCAAGAACAGTGGTATGAGAGGTCTCCAAGCTTGGAGTGCACGGATGGAACAAAGCCCTCAGCCTGAAGAGGGCCATACAAGACAGTCTGGAAAACCACACGCAAAAAAAATAATAATTAAAATTGGCACCCAGGCAACTGGCATGTTGATGATACTCACTGGAGAGAAGCATTGTTAGGATGACAATCATACAACTGGCTACGTGCATACAAATGACTGGAAAATATCAGATCATTTTCAAGCCAGCTAGCAAAGTCTTTGAAAGATTGGAAATGTTTTTGTGTGTGAGCGTGAATCTGTGTGTGTCAAATCAGTCCAAGCTACAAATTTCATAGTTTGATATTTTAGCTCTTTTTCAAGGTTCTCTGGGCAACAGGCTTATGGAAAACAAAGGTGGGGAAAAAGCAGAAACTCGATTTTAAATGAAAAAAAAAGTGACTCCTCCACAAGTCATTAAACTGTCTTCTTTACCGAGAAACAGATGCGAAGCTTGGACATCCCCAGGAGCCAGGAAGCAAGAGGAATACATCTATCACTTGTAAACAATAACTCACAGGGATTCATTACTGCTGGAGACATTCTTATCATCTTATGAACAACAGTGCAATCAAGACTTGCAGATGAAGATGCTTTGTCTACTGGAATCAAAGACGATTGTTCCTGTGAACTGTTTACAAGGATGCGAGTGGCATATCAGCTTTTGTAATAGCTGTAAATGTCTGAAAAACAATCATCATGTGACATAAATTATGTTATGTTTTATACTTGCTTCTCTTACATCTTCAGAGACACTGGGGCCAAAAGGGTTTAGACTGCAGGGAAAA